AGCTCCTTCTTCACATAATCTTCTAGTTGGCATGTTTGAAAAATAATAACTTTTTTCCCATATTAAATAAGAACGGCTCGGAAAATTTTAATATACTATCATGTATAGTTGGAGTAAAAATAGGTAATAAATAGGATACGATATTTATATGAGTTCATTTTGATTCAAATTAACATGTATTTTTAGAAAATCAAACCATTAAAATCTAAATGAACCGATACAAATTATGCTACGACTGCCGAATTTTATGCGGGGCGATAGAGCTCCAATACCTGTCTGGTGGAATCAGCAATTGCTATTGGGACATGGAGATTGGTCAATGGAAGGATGCCACTTATCTTACACTAATAATGAATTGTTCATATTCACTTGTGATAATGTTGGATATTATGCACTTATGCAAGAACCATCTATAGCTAATTCTAGCAGGTGATGATTTGTTAATTATTTATAATTATGAAGACTGTACTTTTAGTTAATTGATAATTTCTCCAATTACAGCAATGAACCGATGGGTGCCAAGTTTAGATTCCTGCATTTAGTGTACATTGGAAGCTGTTTACAATTATCTGTTTGATGATTACCATTGTAACATATATAATTTACTTCAATGCTATTTTGATGCCAAGAAAGACAAAACATTCATTGATTAACACTTGGATTGCTATGTTGTTACTCTGCTTATCGTTTACATTAGGCATTTTTCAAACCGAGTCAAGATTATTATGCCAGACCGCCGGAATTATACAGCACTACTTATTTTTATCATGCCTTTTGTGGATGTCTGTAACAGTCAGTGATATGTATAAAAGACTTTCTGCTAAGGATCCTGTTTTATCAGATGATTTATTACAATCAGAACCACCAATCCCTAAACCAATAGTTGGTTTGTACCTGCTAGGATGGGGAGTTTCTCTCATAGTATGTGGTATTTCTGGTGCAGTCTGCATCTTTCGATTATTGCTTCTTATCATCCAAAGCATCGTTAACTACAGTTTTTGTTCCAATGTCAGGAATGATATTATTTATTATATCGATGTTTTTAATAGTTTGCTGGGCTATCAGACGCTATGATATGTTAGGACATATGTCGGAAGGAACTCAGGCAACAGAAAACGTTGATATAGAATTGCTCGAACCTCAAACGGTGACAAGTGGTGGTAGACAGAGTGCGCAAAGTATTTCAACGCCTACATCGTGCGAAATGGAAGACCAAGAGAATTCTCCGAAAATTCAATTAAAAGCGCATGTAATAGTGTTTTTTTACATTGCTGCATGTGGTCCACTGCAGCAGTTTATATCAGCAGGCCTCTGAAGCACCTAGTAATATACGATGAGGATATATTCGGCTCGCTGTATGGTATTTCAGCATCAATATGTGGAGTTTTCATATTGTTTTTCTATAGTGTTGCGCGTAGCGATGTTCGCAGCCAATTGGAGACCATGATATGTTGCCCGAAAGGTCAAAAGCGTTGGTGTCGTTCGAGAACAATTTCCGACGCCACTTCAAATAATAAACCTCAGCAGGTAGAACTATTAGGCAGTGTCCCTTTACAGCCAATATCCAATCAAGACGCGGCAGCACTTGCTCTAAGTCAATCTTTACACGCAAGTTCTGGGAAAACCATCAACGTAACAGTGGTAACGCTCGGGATTTAATCCCTAATGACCCACAGGCTGTTGTAATTCATCGTAAGCACTACAGATCCACTGATTCTCCAATGAGTTTTGCAGAAAATCAAAATGGTGCAGAGATGTTCTACAATCCCAATCAGAGCAACGTAGCGCGAAAATTTTTTCAAAAAACAAAAACGCCACATGAAGCACAATAACTTAGAAATCCATCGACTAACAGATGGATCAAAGAGTGATGGAGGTTCCATTATTTTCAAGCCTCGTTCGGCATTGGAAGCCGGCGTTATGACTACGAATATATTTGCTACTAGTTCTAAAGTTAATAATATAAACATTCATGCCGAACAGAAGCCTTGTAATAAAGAGGTTCAGAAGCATTGCAATATATTATCTGACACAGAGTCAGATTTCATAGAAAGAATAAGTCCTCATGCAATACATTTCATACCCGCCTCGGACGGGATGTGTGTTTCCATGAAGCACAAGAAAAGCAATAACGTTGCCAAATATATACAAACGTACCAGAAACTTCTTTACCGGAGCATCAGAGGGTACCTTTGGTTAAAAATGACTTTGCTTCAATGTCTTCTGAAGATACAAAAATTTTGCGGCCAATATCCTCCAAAATCTTATGTGAAAGTTCTTATGATCCGACACCGAGTGTTTATTCTGAGCTAGATAGCACTTTAGAAGAAAAGAAAGACTTTAGTAGCAATCTAGGCCCTTGTCACTCACCAAAGTCTTTTCTAGATTTTGATGAACTTAATCACACTCCAACCAAAAACAATGAATTTATGAGTGTAAAACAAGACCATAATAATAAATCTGAAAGTCCAATTTTGTTCCCTTCTAATATTGTCAATTTATATGACCATAAATCTGACAACGCCGAATATTTACGGTCAAGCAGCCCCTTACTAGAAGATTTCATAAACTATCATCAAGCAGATGAATTTGAACCCAATTTTGATAGTGACTGCAACTATGTGCAATATCCTACTTCAGAATTAAGTATAAAAAGTCACGGCTTATATGCCCCTCAACCAGAAATAGGTGGGAACGATTTAAATATGACTTTGATAAATGAAGCTGATCTAAGATGCATCCAAAATCGCGTCCACGACAACGATTTTCCTTATCAGCCATCAGAAATAAGTGCTATAAGTTCTTTAACCAATGACAACATACGTTCAGGTAAAACATATCAAAACTGTTCCCCATATAGACAATCGTCAGCTAGTTTGAATAGTGTGAGTGACATCATGCAAAGTTCCCAGTATCAAGATTATGCCCAAGTGCATAGTACCTCTATCGATGATCTTTATGAACAAATCAAGTGTAGACCAAGACCAAGAACCAGATCATCGGCTTATTATGTCAACAGTGAAAATTTCAAATCCCCCCATTCAAGATCTATGGAATGTGATTTGAATAGTCATGAGAGAAATGACTTTGATGTGAAGAACGATAAATACGAAAGCTAGTAAATTTATCATGCTCAAGTTTAATATGTATTGTAATTTCTAAACTGTAACCGATGTACCTTAACAGAAAGAACAATCATGTTTAATATAAGAACTGCAGAAATTTTAATTACAAGACTAAATAATTAAGACTGACTATATTCTGCATTTTATAAATATAAAGAAACTATTTTATTATATGTCTATTAATAATCATATGTATAATTTATGTCGAAAGTGATTCTAATTGCAATTAAAATAAATATGTATTTTTTATATATTGTCTGATTTAAGTCTGTAAGTATGAAAGTAAAGTAAAAATCAGTATTTTATATATGTAAAAATCATGTAAACATTTATAAATGTAGATTTGTGATAAATATTTTAAATAAACCAGAAATATGTTCAAAATGAAATTGTGTAATTTTTTAACAGGGCTGCGCACACATGTATACATATATATTCCATACTAGATGACCCGACAGACGTTGTCCTGTGCCCATGTCTACAATTTTTTAATATAATATACTAATATTTTCCGTTTACTAAAATTAATTATTGCTTATTAAATTACTCTTCACGCCAAAATGCATATACATTTATAATATGAGTGATGTTAAATGTAGAACTGTCTTAAATAAAATGATGAGTCTCGATTCCCGCACTATATTGGGAATTGAAGTCTTTTAAACGGTATAATATAACCATAACCATAAAAACTATATTGAAGAAAAAACTATATTGAAAATTCAATATCCGAATCTTGTGTTGGAGCCCATCGCATTAAAATTAGGACCGCCCTGATTAATACTTAATTTCATATTTTAAGTGGATTAATTTGTCATATCCTGTTCATGTGTGTATCATTCAATCTGCCATACATATACTGTATCTTAAATTATTTAAATTTCTGGCACATCTCAGCTGCTTTCTGGCAATAATAATGTAGACATTTCATTTTTCTTATTCATAATCATAAATTTATTATACATATTCTAATATTGTCTAGATTCATAAGTAAATTGAATTTTTTGGCAGATGATAGTTTTCATTCATTCATTTTAAATGCAAAAAATGACGTGTCGTTTTTTGCAATTTTTGCCATTTATTTCTACAGTATTGCACATACATCCCAGTACTTTATAATCACATACATGCTAGAAAATATCCTTAACAAACTTGAGAAAGATTAATCAAAATCCGCATATTTGTTTAGAAGGAGTATAGAGTGAGTGCTTGTAAATTTAATATGAACTTTATATAATAACAATAAAGCTCAAATTGATTCTTTTAGTTAAAAAACGTTTGTATGAAAAAAACAAAAGGGCTGTTTTTAGGGTTTTCCCGGCAATTATTCGATTTTTTCTTGCCGTAAGAACCATCCTTGGACTTCAACAAACATTTTAAAAAAAATAATTGGCCAAATTGGTCCAGGCGTTGTTGAATTATGCGCTTAGCAACAAATTTTGCGATCCATTTTTATATATAAGATAAGTCTTTTTAAAAAATATCAATTGAAAATCGCATCAACTAGTTTTTAGTAAAAGAAATAACTTTATTTTCAAAATAAGCATTTGAGATTCGAGTTCATCATCTAAATATCTGAATATGAATTCTTATTCATTAAGTTGATAATTTACACAGCTGGCCTCAAGACAAAATGCTACTTACAATTACCAGTTAAATTGAAAATTTAGTTTTAATTAAAAATAATACTTTTAAAAAAAGTTTTACACAGAGTATTTAAAAAATTTAAATGTATAAAATTTTATTAAACTTACATGCAAAAACAAACGTTTCCAATAAAAATAAAATAAATTATTCAATTATTTTATGGAAAACAAAAGTAAAATTATGCCTTAAGGTAAGTTGCATTAACCGAAAAGTGCAAATAATCAACGTAATAAATATAGAATTATATCTCAAGGTATCAGTAAATTAAATTATGTACATCGATTTGCTCTTTTAATGTTGAAAACTATTGTAAATTTTATTATATTAGGAACAAAGACACGCTTAGGGCATACGAATGTTGTAAGTAACTTTGATCCGTTATTTCAGACTTATTTAAACGTTTTATTTTATAATAAATTTGTGCATGATTACCTAATTTTCTATAATAGGTATTTATAGAAATTTTTTTCATATATAATATTCCAGTTAATAGTTCATAAATTAAAAACTATCTATTGAAACTTACTTCAAATTTGTTCCTCCATTACTAATTTTATAAGTGTAAGTAACTTTTCTCTCAGGGTCCCGAATACCACCATAAACTTTGGAAGAAATCAATCTTACTGGAGTCAACATCATAAGCTGGTCTACCACTAACTGCTAAACTGCACAAAATCTCCTAAAAATTTAGTAAAATTATAGTAATGAAATAAAATAATAAATTTAGAATTTTGTTTACTTGGTGAATCTATTTTGATTGGCAACTAAGTAAGTGCTGCTTTCACTCTTAGATGAAAAATAAATCGAAAACGTGATGTATTCCGTCATTGACATCACACATCTTTAAACACTCGGCAAAAATTATTGGAGCTTGGTGGGGATCTTTCACCACATTTAGGATTATATGCTAGAGTACTGACCCCGCACCATCTAATTTCAATCTTCACAAAACTTTTAATTTGAAACGATTCAATTTGACAAATTGTATCTGATTCAGTTTTTTACCAATAAAAACCAAAAGTTTCAATAAAGTGGAAAGATGCTGCTTGAAAGATGACAAAATGCCCAATGCATTACATAATAAAGTTATTTAGTTCCATGGAAAAATATGTTTGATTTTCAAAACAAACAAACACTCGCACTTAGTTGCCCAGCTGATACAATAAAATTGCTTAGTTGGAAAAGAAATATGACTAATATTATCACTCAAAATAGAAATATCACTCAAATGACTAATATTAACTTAATGCCTAACAGATTTATTATGTTGTCGCTACACAAGGGATAATATTTAATCAATTAGGGATCGTTCAAGTATTATGTAAACAGGTTTATTACAATTATTTACTCCCCCCCCCCCTGTAATACTTGAACGGCCCCTTATAATATTCACAGAGATTACCTAATATTAAAAGTTTTCATGTCACTTACTAGAACAATAAGATGCAGCGAGTGATGTTCACGAATAATGCTGATTTATTATTTCTGCTTCAAGTAAATACACCAATAATGCTTTCAATAAATATCATCTTTCTTCCTTAACAATTAACTAGAATCCTGTACTGTAGCTTAATGACATTGAGCACTATTTCCCTAAAAAATTAACCATTAATATAAAATGCATTCATTTTGTCAAAACAATTATAAAAACTTACCAAGACGTAGCAATTCTTCCTTACAAACTGCTTAGGTCGGTTATACTTTTTCTTGTATTTAATACTTTTCTCCATTCTTATAAACTGGCACTGTAGTTAGAAATAATTAAAACACAATTACACTATAACCTTATTTAATCTTGCCATGTGTTCGCAATGACAGTTCAACTGCAAATGACGGCCATGTTCTTCTCAAGGAGCTGTCAAAAGTTAACAGGAGCCCAGAATTCTATTAGACAGGGACGCACTTTGAACAACTTTAAATATTTTGAACAATTATGTAAATTATTTTGAATAATATGTTTTACATATTTGTAAAAGATCTAAAAAATATTATTATAACAAATGCACTTGTTCAAATATTCACGAATTGTTCACGCATTGACAGTCAAACGACAGATGTCCGCAAAGGTTTTAGATCTGTCAAAAGTTAACAGGAGCCCAGGATTTTATTAAGCAGGGCCACACTTTGAACAACTTTAAATATTTTGATTATTTTAAACAGTCCAAACCACAAAATATTATAATAGCACTTGCTCAGATATTCACAAATAAATAAATTTCTCAACTGCTTTGAATAGTTATCAAATCATTGCACTGCATAAATAGTTTATTCACTGCCCTGTATCGTAAAATATATTAAATCACTACACTGCTTTAAAAACTATTAATTAAAAGTTAAATCAATCATATTAATGTATTCGCTACTACATGTCGTTTGAAAGCAACGCACTTTCACAATTATCGTATGCATTCTGCATATTATCATTATTTTCAATGTTTCGTAGCTCAAATACAATAACATTAACGCTAAAATAACATTCCAATCACCAAAACTTATTAAAATATCTCAAATCAATAAATCACATATTTCTTTCAAATAAATATTCTAAATAATTACCCCTAACATTTCAGCAGACGGTCCTGCGAATTCGAACGAAATTTCATTCCGGGATGTGACTGTTCCCCTGGCAGAATGAATCGATTTAGTACGAAAATGTTCCATGGAAACGTCAAATCATACAAAATCTCGTATGAAGCGTCTCGAAGTATTAGGAGCGCAGACGCAATTTTAGCGCAACCGAAGTGTAAATTAAAATGGCGCTTATATTAAGCAGGGCCGTCTGTTAAAATGTTAGGGGTAATTATTTTGAATATTTAGTTGAAATAAATATGCTTTTTATAGTTTTGGACTATTTTAATCAGTTTTGTTCATTGTAATATTATTTTAAGATTATTATCATTATAATTGAGCTACTAGATATAAAAAAATAATAAATATTCAAAATATATAATTAAATATTTATATTTGATTAAAATATAATATTTAGCATGGCTATTAATTATAATTTGCTAAAAGCAACTTGAAAAATTCAATAATGTGCACATAAAATTTATAATAAAAGAAAAATTATATTATTTGTACTTTTATTTATATAATTACAAGTTTTGGCATTTAATGAGTTAAATTAATATATATCTTGTCCTATTCGAGAAGCATTCTTTTAAATATTATATTACAGTAGATTGCACTAATGCAATTGTAATACGTCTATTAAATTCAAATTATCGCTATCATTCATATTCTTTAAAGATAAATTTAAAGTTAAGATGCACTGAATTAATTTCATTGCTTTGATACAAATATTCATGGATTTCGTAATAGAATTATGTTAATTTATAAGTAAATTAATTTATAAGTATGTAATATATAATAAATAAAAGATTCTTAAATCAAGTATAAATCATATTATATGTAAATCTAACAAGAATAGTTAAAATTAATAACTAATTATAATGATTATTATAACATTATACAAACACATTTCTTTTTTAGCTTTTTAAGCACTTTGTTCAATCACACACATTCTAAGTTTAAATTTTAGAACTAATCAGTTGTATGTACAACTTGCCAGAATATAATGGCACTTTTGATCTTAACATTACAAATATATTTACTTAATTACTATTAGCTACAATTTAAATATCAATAATGCACATGCATTACATCATGAGTTTTATAAAAATTAGTTTTAAACAGATTATAAAAAAATCTATGAGAGATTACTTCACTTATATATAAGTGCATCATATGTAATTAAAATTAGTCATTTACACTGTTGTAGCAAAGTACAAAGACAACTTCCTTTATACATCATAATATTCTTGATAAATGTTACATCTTCTTTATTCGTCCTTAGTTACATCTGCAAGATGTCGACGGATTTCAAATCAATTATCAGTAAATATTTGCTTTACGAAAGGTCCAGCTAGAGGTACTCCTACAGTCTGCATTCGAGGTGGTCCACTGCAAGTTTCTAGACTCAGAAGATACTCAGGATTGTTTATTGTAAGCATGAAATCTAGATAGACACGTTGCTCTGGATTATTGCAAATTCCATAATGGAATAGACTATGTTGTAATAATAAATAATAAATTGTAGTCTTACTAGTAATATTCATTAACTAAAGAACTGTATTGTTATATAAAGTACATGCAATGATCAAAAATTTAAACTAATTATTCTATATTTACCATTGAGATCTATGTAAGCTCTGAGTGCTTGCATTGTATCAAATAATAATCTTCACCTAATGGTCAGTCTTATTTTATTCTTTGTACAGGTGCTTCTTCTCGTTCATATCAACTTCATCTTTCAAAAAATTGCTGCAATACCTTTTCTACATGCCACTACAGAAACTATACAAAATAACTTGAAATCATATTTTTTATATTATTATTATACAATATTTTCACACCCATATTTTATTTGGAAGCAGATCGTCATATCCAAACTACATTAGTAATTATATTTAAAAAATTCTCTAGCCAATACAATAGAAAACTAAGTATTTTATATTTTTTGTGTATTGAATGATTTGTCTAGAATGTACATGGCTTTGGGTTTATATAAACTATACAATATATACATAAATATTGTTATCAAATTATCAGTTTATATTTCTGAACATTGGATATGAATGGGAATGCTTTTTGTCCAATTAATTTCTGAAATAGGTATTTAGACAAAAGCACAAAGAACTATAAATTTACATTAAGTAAACCAACTATTAAAGTATTAAAAACCAATTCTGAATGTCTGGCTAATAAATTATTGTCAGCTATACGCAGACATGGCGCTGTATTGTAAAATAAAAAAAGTAACAAACAACCGAAGCAATATGTAATTTTGTGCTTATTATTGTATGCGACCTTTAAATAAGAGTGTTATTTTAAATCAGATCAGCAGTAACAGCGATCCTTTATTAATGTAATATTTAAGTAGGAAAAAAATTCTAATAAATGCCTACTCAATATATAAATATTTTATATTATCCATGACAAATGAATAATTAATTATTAGTGTCAGCTAATTGTTTATTTACATTCCCCAATCATGTTAAATCCATATCTGATAACTAATTACAAGTTTAAAGAAAGCGAATTTTTAATTAAAACTATTCACTGATATTAATAATTCTTTAGAATTAGTGCTCGTGCATAATATCTCCAAAGATGAATGGCGTGGATTTTACAATTGCTCCTATATAGAGAATATGACTCAAAAAACTGGTAATTACAAACAATTTGATATTTTTGTCACAATGTTAAGTGCTGGATTATTAAATACCAGTGATAGTATAAAATTAGAGCTTTTAACATTCAAAGATTTAAAAGAATTACATCACAACAAAACATTTGCACGATCCGAAAGAATAGATCTTACTTCAAAAACCAATAAGAGATATTTAATATTGACATACATGTTGAATTTGATGAAATCAATTATCCATTACCCTTAGAATTATAGGTCCACCAGATCCAAAAAAACAAACAGAAAATAATATACAAACTAGAATCTAGATTGAGAAGTATAAAACAAATCTTACAAAATGGAAAACTGAAACGGCTGTGATAAATAAATTAAAAATGGAAATAAAAATTTAAATGCCGAAAATATTTTGCTCAAGCAAAAGCTCAAAACAATGCAAAGCAATACTAAATCCAAAAAAAACATGATTTTGCAAAAAGCATTGATTAAACTTGAGAAAAGTATAACTTTAGAACGAGAAACACATCATCAGTTAGTTCAAAAGTTAAGACTTAACAATTCACGCCTAAAACAGGAACTGAACATTACAAAGCGCAATGAAAAATATTGCTAACAAGTTGAAAGAAATAGTGATGTCTTACGTTCCATAAACAGGAATTATAATTATGGTAATAAGACGAATGCGGGTGGAGAACATGGATCAAGAAAATTGACTCAAATTTATCCGAGAAAAACTAGATGTCATTAGAATCTCCGGATGGAGTACGTACTTCAAGAAGATTCAGTCAAACTAATTCTACCAAAAGTAGAAGCCATTCACAATCATCTAACTCCTCAAGAAAATCTATATTTACTTTGACATCAGATAAAAGATCTAGATCTTCCTCTGTGGGACATTGCTACTCTCTAAATAGCTTACAAAATTTTAGTTGCAATTCTGCAAGTACCAGACGATCATGTAGCTTGAGAAATCTTTCAAATTGCAAAATAAGCAGCTCGAGTAATTCATTAGCAAACCATAGAGCAAGAAGTAGAAGCTTGGAAAATACAAAAAACCCTAAACTCAAAAACGTAGTAAACAGATGCAATAGATCAATGAGTATTCAAGAAGGATTAAAGAAGCAGCAACAACTTTCTGCTGTTAGAAAATTATTTTGAACCAAATTTCTACCACCTTATTTCCACTAACTTATCACAAAACTCTTGAAATATAAACTATATCAAATATAATATGACTTTCATGCTGTACTAAAATAGTTTTTAAGGGCGTTATAAGGAATCTTGTTTAAAAGTTTTCAAAGTTAAACTATTCAAGATTAATTGTAGTAGAGGTTTTTTCAAAATTTAAATTATTTTCAAAGATATAACTAAAATCATCCTCTTTTAAATGATATTTGTTATAAAACGTCCTCAGTATCATCATTGAATAAAGAAAAATATTGATAAGAAATAAGTAGATTATTAGTTAATTTATTAATTAATATGCATAAAGGTATTCACCTATCAATCCTCATTGTGAAATACTTGGGACTTAATAACATTTCCTTTTTCATCTACATCATCCAAAGTTATAATTATAGGTTTCTTATCACTAATATAACGCTTCATCACAGAGAAATCTTCAATACTTCCTAAATTAGAATCAGTCTGATTTGATTCATTTTCTACAAGCCAATCAGTTTCAGTCTTCAAGGGAGGATCACAATTATTTTTCGTTCTATATCTTTTCCTTGTCTCTGTGCTTTTCTTTGAATTTCTTTTTTTATTAGAAATGGTTGGTTTTATATTATCTGATGTTTGCACTATGATATTTGTAACATCTGACATGGTCGCTGGAACCTCCTGGAATTTCAATTAATATAGTGTATAAAATGTAAAGTTTTTAAATTTTTCAGTCTTTACTTACAATTTTGACATCATAATCGTGATTTGCGGATTTTAGAAGTTCATTATTAAATGGGTGTATTCAAAGTATTTTCACTGAGTTCAATATTTTCATACCGCATAGTTTGCAAACGATAATAACCATCAGATTCCACTCTATACCTATAGATAATATTCATAACTATGAGAAAGCAAATATTCATTATATAAGCATAATTGTTTTATCTTATATATATAAATTTCTTCTGTAATAATGTATGAAAGGATACTCTTCCTAAACGATTATTCAGATTTTGATAAATCTTTTTTGAAGTTTGTTAAGAAAAATTTTAAGGATGTTGTGATTATAGTAATATAGTTAGATTGTAGAAATAAATGGAAATAATTACTTAAAACCGCTTATCATTGTTTGACATTGAAAATATTTAAGGCATTGAAAACAAATGAAAACTGTCATCTGCCAAAAACTTCAATTCACTTATGAGCCTAGACAATATTAGAATATGTATAATTAGTTCATGATTATGAATAAGAAAAATGTAATGCCTACATTATTATTGCCAAAAAACAGCTGAGATGTGCCAAAAATTAAAATAATATAAGATACAGTATATATATATATATTGTTATACAGTTTAAAAGACTTCAATTTCCAATATAGTGTGGAAATTGAGACTCATTATTTTATTTAAAGCAGTTCTACATTTATCATCGCTCATATTGATGTATATGCATGTATAAACAATAATTATTATTTTTAGGTAAATGGTAAATATTAGTAAAGGATATTAAAAAATTGTAGACGTGGGTACCGGACACATCTTTTGGGTCATCTAGTATATATATATATATATAATATATATATATATACACCTGTATAATTATGATAAAATGTTTTCAGACATCCATCTAATAATAAGAAATTGTGCGGAGGTGACTGTATACAAATTTCCAACAAAATAATACCAACTAATTTACTCACGTGAACCGAGAATGTCCCGGTGGCCAGTGGAACCCATGATTCTTAATCAGATGCTTTGTGAGCTCAGAGCCGCGTATAAATCTCTGCTTGCACTTATATACATGACAGCAGTATGCAAACTGAGCATTTTCTTCAATATCAGAATCTGGATCAACTTCACTCTGATTTTCATCATTGCTTGAGGTCAAACGAGCTCTTTGATGGGTCAGAGTGTGTTTTGTCAAACCAGGCAGAGAGCGACAACGGAAATCACAATCCTCAAAGTCACATGCATATTTCTTGACGTCATCATGTGTGTTCATGTGCAATCGTAGATCACGTTTGGTAACACACCTAACAAATAATGATTAGTTTTTATTATAAGAAAGTATTTAGTGATACAATTATTAACTCTTAATAACTCTCTATTAATAATAATAAGTTAATAATGTAAGCAGTAAGAAAATAGAATGAAGTGAATATACCACACTTAAGAATAGAATAATATTTAACCAACAATTTGAAAAATAAAGATTATATAAAATATTAATTTTATGATGTTATAGATGTTATATATTGAATGTACTACATTCAAGAATAGAATAATATTCATTTGTTTGGCATTTAACAGGGAATATTTAGCAAGTTGATCTCAGATTATAAAGTGCTCATATGAACTAGATTTAAATATTAATATTATGTTATATACAAAAAAAAACATAAATAGTGAATAATCCAACAGACCGAAGCATATGAATAGAAAGCAAAACAATTACAAAGTTTATTGCACAAGAGTCTTAGAATATTAGTCCATTACAGTCTAATCATGTTATATTTATACTTAGTCATATATTATTTAATATTTACCAAGTAGAATATATGTTTATGATATTCAAATATTTATGTTATATATTGTGATGCCAATGCTAGAAAACCAATATTGGCAAAATCAATATTGGTCAGACCAATATTGGCAACTACAATTTAGTGCAGTTAATTCAAATGAGTTTGAAAAAATTCTATTCGAAACCATAGGGTTTAGATTTAATTGAAAGCGGTAACTTTGTTTTTCAAATAAACAGTTGAACATTTTATCTAAATATCTATATTTCAATTTCGATTGATTAAGTCAATTCTTACACATTTTGGAAAGTTCATGCAACTTGCCTTAAGGCTAAATGCCACTTTCAACTAGTTTATTAATTATTTGAATTATAATTGAAAATGAAATACTCACGCATGATCGCAGAGGTAACATTTAAAAACTCTGTCATCGACATGGCGATATCTAATATGTTTGGCCAAAGCAGAAGGTGTTGTGCATGTCATATCACATAATGAACATTTATAATTATTAATATGCAAACGCATATGATCTCGTAATAAACGGTTGGATGGAAAAAATTTACTACAATTTCTGCAGAGAAAGTTCTTCTTAGCACAAACTAAAATGAATAAAATAAACTGATTTTTATAATATAAAAAATTATATATTTGAATAAATATTATAAGATTAAATAATTTCAATAAAAAATAGTTCATTTTAAATACTTTTTTCATTTCTTAATGAAGTTATTTCAAAGAAATTGTTAATATATTTTTAATACTTCATCATTTTATCATTTTCATGATTTTAGTTATTTTTTTTACTTTCCCTTTTCACTAATGAAAAGGAGTATTAGAATATCTGTACTTAATAATCTTGAACACAAATATAAAAAATTTAAGTATAATTTATTATATTAAATATGAGTAAACTGAATTATTTTGTAATAAAATATCTAAAAATACTTACGCTCAATAGGAATTTGCCTTAAACAATGATCTGCTAATTTGGTATTATTAGAAAACATAGTTCCACAATGAACACAAGCTACAACTTTTTCTCCAGAATGAGCACGACAATGTTCTGATAGATGAACACATCTTGCACGTTTAACTTTACATCCTAGAAACATTATAAAATAAATGAATTAGAATGAATTAATAAAAATAAAGAGATCATTATTTTAGTATACCTCTCCAGCCACAATAAAAATTAGTATCCTTCTTGTTAGTAGATTGGCTTGCTAGGACATGACACTTTATGTGGTCATAAAATTCCTACAAATAAATTTCTATTGTAAATCATTTTTATATTTATTAAAATAAAATTAATATTTCAAATGGTAGAAAAACAAAGCAGAATTATTTTATGAATGTAAAATATATAATTATTCATGTAATTTAATAAATAT